TTATTATTATTATTATTATTATTATTATTATTATTATTATTATTATTATTATTATTATTATTATTATTATTATTATTATTATTATTATTATTATTATTATTATTATTATTATTATTATTATTATTATTATTATTATTATTATTATTATTATTATTATTATTATTATTATTATTATTATTATTATTATTAATTATTATTATTATTATTAGCATAAAAGATTAAAAGAAGATTAAATAATGAAAAATGCTTACTTACCTTTTACTTTATTTACTGAATTCATTAAATTATATTTGGTAAATATATATTGTATTCAAATAGTATGCAAATAATTTCATATCATAGTACATACAGTAAATATATAAACTACATACAGTATATAAATTACATACAGTACGTAGATACATACAGTACATAGACTAGTATATACAAATAAACATTGCACAATTTTTCTTTAACAAATATTCTTGTAATAATTCAAAAATTTTTCCAAAATGATGACAAACTTCTTTCAGGTCATTTTTATGATCTTTCAAGGACAAGTAATTAGCAGTAATATCGAAGCAAAACTTAATGCATGGGAAGTAGCTTTATATGAATTTGCTACAAAAACTTATATTAATCAACCAATAAAATTATTGGTATGTGTTTGAATGTTTTTCTTTTTTTTTCCTCTCATTCTCACGTTTCACGTTTTTACGTGAACTTTTATTTTCATCACAAAGTAATTGACTGATATTTCAATCATTGATTTCATCTAGAAAAAATTCTTTTCTAGGGATATTTGCTGCTAAAATTATTTTTCAATTATCTTAACACTTTTAATGATTAAGCTATTCTTTCAGTTAATTTAATCTCAGATAATAAGAGATATCATTTTTGGATAGAAAACAGCACGAAGTTTTGAATGGAATTGTGGCACTTTTAAATTATTATTAACTATTTAATACGAAAAAAGATAATATTGGATAGAGAAAAACAGGAATTGAATTTTTTAACTAAAAACTAAAACTTTCATTAATTTGATTTTGTATTTTTTCATGCATATATTTTTCCCAAAAATCTTTTCCTCGTTTATAATTTTTGAATTTGAAGAAGAAAAAAAAATAAGTGAATATAAAATTATAGGTACTTGGATCAGAAATAGTCAACCAGGAGCTAATCAAGGATTCGCAACGGATGGCACCATATTTTGTCGCTGGTTTTTTTTTCTCATTTCTGTTTTTCCAATTTTTTTTTAAATTTATTTTTATATAAGAGTATTGTAGTTAATGGTAGGAATGAAAGAATGGTTTAATTAAGATTTAATTGTTATGCACTTTAGAGGAACTCTTTATACTTTAGGGATCTCTGTGTATTTATCAAAATTCATTCAAAAAATAAATTCATCAAATTTTTCATTGAAATTTAAAAATTATAATTTATTGCTCTCCTTAACTTAGCAAAATATTTTTTTTCTTAACTTTTTATTTTGGCTTATCTTTTGTTGCAAATTATGACGGGATGAAAATTTTCAAATAAATTAAAATTATTTTGATTTTTTTAAATTTAAAATTTCATTGTTGCAATATGCTTACATTTCAAATGAAGCATCATTTTTGATGGTACAATTAGTTATCGAGAAGTTATTCAACTTCTAAACCATCTACTTTAATATATTCATTTAGGTTAGATTAGATTATTGTCAATCGTCTGTTTCAAATTTTTTAAATTTTTAAATTGAATTTAAAATTTTCCTCAAAAATTTGTCGTTTCTTCAAAAATTTCCTCAGAATTATTTATTAATTTTGTAAACTTTAACTTTAACATTTTTGCTTTTTCTTTTTCCCTTTTTTTTCGATTAATAATATACTACAAAAGAAAAAAAAAAACGAAGAAAAACAAAAAAGGCATGGCAAGAAGAGATTTGAAATAAAAAGCGACGAACTTTTGATAGTACGTATGATAAGGATATGATTACGTATGATAAGGAGTAATAGTTAACGAATTGATAACAATTAGTTGTATCATTGTTTTTTTTTTTTTTTTTTGAGCTTAAAATAAATGATCGTTTATAGAATGTAACTGATATGATTGCTATGATTGGTTCCACTTTACATATTTCTCCTCTATCATTAAATTTTTTTTATCAGTTTATTATCA